CAGGCGTGGTGGCTCACACCTGTAATTCCAGCACTTTGGGAGACCAAGGAAGGCAGATCACCTGAGGTCAGGAGTTCGAGACCAGCCTGGCCAACATGGCGAAACCCTATCTCTACTAAAAATACAAAAATTAGCTGTGCATGGTGGTGGGTGCCTGTAATCCCAGCTACTCAAGAGGCTGAGGCAGGGAGAATCACTTGAACCCAGGAGGTAAAGGTTGCAGTGAGCCAATATCGTGCCACTGCACTCCAGCCTGGGCGGCAGAGTAAGACTCTGTCTAAAAAAAAGAAGAAAGGAAAGAAAAAGAAATATGTAATGTAAGCTTGGCACACAGTAAGCATTATGTGCATGCTAGCTGTTTATATTTTAATACATATAATAATATATATTAGCTTATGATAGTGATGTTATAGATACCAGGATGAAATATTTGTATCTTATCACACTCCCTAGTTTAGTGACTTTCAGAAAAAATGTTGACTGAATGGGTAGTTGTCTAGCTCTTCTATACATGCATGTCATCTAGAATCAGCTCTTCCATCTTTTCACTGAATCCTGTATATACAAATCATCACTATCAAGGCACCCACCTCTATAGGACCGTGTCCTGGCCTGCTATACTGCTATACTAAGGAAGGGAAATAGAGCATCTCTGTGCTGTCTGTAAGGTACAGATGGACCAACAAAGGTCACGAAGCCACAAATTCCCTGAGAAGCTAAATAAGCAATACAAGTGAGAAGCAGATCAAAACTTTTTAAAACTTATACTGCCTAATTCTTTTTTGGCCCTGGACTTGTTGATATCTTTAGTAGAAGATATTTGTCAGCTGGATTGTGGATTCCCCTTTTTTCTCATTACATAAAAAACAAAGGAAAATATGTATATCAAATACTTGCCTGTTTTTGAGTAATCCTTCCTGTGTGTGACCTTCCTCCTTTCTACACAATATACATATATGCAGTCTGTAACCCATCTACTGCTGCTATTTATTAACCAGATGAACTAAGCACTGTCAGTGATGTCAGTGCTACTGAATTAATTTAGTTACATCTTTGTATCAGTGATCTTTATCCCTGTGTCTTTTCAGGCTGCATCAACAGTAAAAACTCTTTTAATTTATGAATAATGTGTATGGAAGCATCATTCACTGACCCTGTACTGACTGTTTGGAATAGATGTAAAAGCATTTTTCTTTGTATTCTGTAAGAAATATTTTTCTAATATTAGATACCAGGTGGTATTATCATGTTATTTTAACAAAGATCTGGCATACCTGGAGTTATCTAACAACTCAACAATGTATTTTTAATTATGATTTAAAATGTTACTAAAAGTGTGGAACCCATATAAAATATCATCTTAGTAAAGTAGCAATTATAATTTTGCATATTTTATTTTTTCTATAGAGGTATTTCATACCTATATGTATTAGTCAAGGTTCTGCAGAGAAACAGAACCAATGGGGTGTGTGGGGGTGTGTGTGTGTGTGTGTGTGTGTGTGTATTTGTATATATAGAGAGATTTATTATAAAGGGTTGGCTCATGCAATTATGAAGGCTCACAAGCTCCAAGATCCTCAGGATGAGTTTGTAAACTGGAGATTCAGGAGAGCCAATGGTGTAGTTCAAGTCTAAGTCTGAAGGTCAGAGAAACAGTAGAATTGCTGGTGTAGTTCTAGTTCAAAGACTGGCAGGCTCAAGACCCAAGAGGGTTTCAGTTTGAGTCCAAAGGAGGAAAATGCTGATATCCTGGTTCTAGGGCAGTTAGGCAGAAAGAATTCTCTTACTCAGAGGAGAGTTAACCTTTCTGTTCTTTTCAAGCCTTCAACTGACTGGAAAGGGCCCGCCCGTGATAGGGAGGGCAGTCTGCTTTCCTCAGTCTACTGATGTAAATGTTAATTTCACCCAAAAACACTTCCACAGAAACACGGAGAATGAGATTTGACCAAATATCTGGGCATCCTTTGGTCCAGTCAGGTTGACACATACGACTAACCATTATACGATATACATAGGTGATCAGCAAATGTACAATTTTATAACCTAGTTTTAAGAATGTTTTGTTATAGTCATGTATAAAAATTATTAACATATAGTAACTCACTTTGGCATATTGAGAAGTAAATATAATAAAGAATCTTAAAGCATGGGCCACATCTCAAAGAGTCATAAACCAAAATTAATAGAGCATTCAATTAGTCCTTTATGCTAAAGCTATGAAAAATGTTTTTCATATAAGAGGCTCTTTGAAAAGGTATTTACATTTAAGACTCTTTGGAAAGGAACTTAAAGAGAAATAGGATAAAAATAGTCTGCACTAGCCTGTCTTGAACTTCTTGCACATTTAATTTAATTCAGCAGACATGTATTGAATATCTACTATGTAAAGTTCTGTGTTACTTGCTAAGAGGGACACTAAAACAAAAAGCTGTTCCCCTCAAGGAAGACAAACAAGGTAACTATACAACAAGATAATATTAGTTAACTACATCATCAGAGATACTATTGAAGTGTGATGCAGGAATATAACTGTATCATATATGAGATAATGCTTTAACTTGTTTGGAAGTATTTATACAGCATATATAAGGGGAAACATCATCTCTGGCCTATCAATAATGGCCAGAGACAAAGAAAGAATATTCTTGATGGAAAGAAAGCTCACGAAAAGCTGAGAAAGAAAAGGATGTATTTTGCCAACAGAAAATTATCTAGATGTGCTGAGTGTTTAGGTTGTGATAAGGGAAGGAACGATGACAGAAGAAAACTTAAAAACCTGCTTGCAGAATGGAAATAGAGGCAGGTCAAAGTGAGCCCTGAATGTCGTTATTTTAAAATTTGAATGTTTAAAAATTGAGAGCCATGAACATATTTGAAAAGTGGAACAACTTTTCTAATCTGTAATTGAGAAATAACTTAGGAAGCAATTTAAGGGATAAAGTGTTGTGCGATTGTAAGAAGGGTACCCACTTTAATTACATCTATCTGACTGATTTCTAAAGAGGATTTGAGACAGTTTATAGCATTGAAAAATAAAGGTGAAAAAAATAGGAGCCGAGTAAATAAAGGCAAGAAAATAAGATGAAGCTGTAGTAATGAAACAAAATGAAACAACAACAAAAGCGCATGGCAAGAATTCAGTGTTGATAGAAGTGGCCCAGAAGATTAGCTCTCAACCTCTTAACAGAAGGAAATAGGAAAGATGATTATTATTACTGAGATCTTGCTTCTTGTGTCACAGAAAAAAATAGAAGCAATCAAGACTTTTCCTAGCATTCCTCTAGCAGCGTCCCCATGTGAATTCCCATATGCTCTGCCATCTTACTACAGATGAACTGTCTATGCTCTTCTATAAAGCCAACTCTTCCATTTGTGCTTTAGCATCAATCTCCTTATCTACTTAACAGTGTTCCTCTAGCAATCTCCATTCTCTCCTGCATTTCCAGTTTTCCCTGTTGAATCATTTCTATCAGCATAAAAATATGTTGTTTTTTTAATCTTTAAGAAACAAAAAAAGCAAACAACCTAAAGAAAACTCCTTTGATTCATCTTCCTTCTCCTGGTACTACGCTACCCATTCATTGTGAGAAAATGTTAATCAAAACTGCACTGAGGAAAGACAAAAACCAAAAAACTGCAGTGCAGCCAAGTGAGGTGGTTCTTGCCTATAATCCCAGCACACTGAGAGGCCAAGGCAGGAGGATCCCTTGACATCAGGAGTTTGAGAACAGCCTTGGCAATATAGAGAGATCCCCATCTCTACAAAAAATTTTAAAAATTAGCCAGGAATGGTTTTACATGCCTGTAGTCCCAGCTACTTGAGAAGCTGAGACAGGAGGATCACTTGAGCCCAGGAGTTTGAGGCAACAGTGAGCTATGATTGCACCACCTCACTCCAGGCTGGGCAACAGAGAAAGATCCTGTCAAAAAACAAAACAAAACAAAAACTGCAGTGATGCAGTGAGATTTATTGGTCAATTTTTAGATTGGCAAAACCCCAAGTCTTCGTAATACCTCTATGGACAAGGCTTGTGGAAAAACTCTTACATTTTGCTGGTAGAAGTACAAAATGGTACAACTGTTATGTAAGGGAATCTGACAATCTGTATAAAAACTACAGATGATTTACTTTCTCATCCATTATCTCAGAGAATCAATTTAAGAGAAATACATACAAGGCTATTTGCTGAAACATCATTTATAGTAGCAAAGGTTTGAAAAAAATTTTTTAATTCTCTGTTAATAACAGATTGGTTATATAAACAGTGATACATCCACTAATGGAATTCTATGTACCATTTTTAAAAAATAAGATCTCTAAGCATTGATATGGAAATATCTATTGATAAGTTTAAAATGCAAGGTACCTGCCGGACGCAGTGGCTCACACCTGTAATCTCAGCACTTTGGGAGGTCGAGGCGGACAGATCACCTGAGGTCAGGAATTCAAGACCAGCCTGGCCAACATGGCGAAATCCCTTCTCTACTTAAAATAGAAAAATTAGTCAGGCATGGTGGCGGGCATCTCTAACCCCAGCTACTCAGGAGGCTGAGAAGGAGAATCGCCAGGGAATGGAGGTTGCAGTGAGCCAAGATTGTGCCACTGCACTCCAATCTGGGCGACAGAGCCAGACTCTGCCTCAAAAAAAAAAAAAAGCAAAGTGCCTAATAATTTTTAAGGTTTTTGATCTTTTGTAAAAGGAGGAAATAAGAATATATATTCATATTTGCTTGAATTTGCATAAGGAAACTTTAAAAGCTAACAGAAATGATTATTGATAAAGGATGGGCTGGGGAATTAGAAAAAATCTGTTGTAATAATTTCCAGTCTTACTATCTCTTTTAAGCTCTCATATACTTTTATGTAAAATATAAAATGATGATTTTCTCAAATTGTGTATTATATTTTCTTTGGAACAAAATAATCTGTATTTATAGCACTTGCTAAATTTTCTATTGCATTTTATCATAAAATTATTTCTTAAAAATTCTATTCCTAGATCTACATTTATTCTCTTGGAATGACACTGTATTGGGGGGCTGATCATGAAGTGCCTCAGAGCCAAGTAAGTTAAGTGTTTACAGTTACTACACTTTTTACATGTGTTCAATTTTATACCTTTTATCATAGCTCTTCAGCGTATTTATATGTGTTCCACAGCGTGCTGTCAGGTGTACCAGCATTCCTATGGAGGTTGTTTATATTAATAATGTCATACTTTCAGGATGAACTTACAATAAAGTACTAAAGACACTATTTTTAAGGTATTCCTAGAACTGTAGCAATTACTACCCAGGTTTCAACAACTCAATCTGTGAGATGGAGCTGGCCTCTTCAAAATTATAGCAAGATAAATGGGAGTATACTTTATTTTATCTAATTTAGTGACTGTTAAGAGAGATTGGAAATCTCTTGTCTTTGATGATTCATTCTACTGAATGTGATAGCTTTTTTGATGCAAAAACTCTAGGAATAGTAGCCCTATGTCTCTGAGTATTGTATTAGAGAATGTCATGTAGCTTTTTCTCTTGGCACTTCAAATCATACATCATACTTCACCACCCCTATAGCAGCAGACACAGGTATTAAAGTAACACTTGCTGAGGTCCTGGGCCATGTTTGCCATTGGGCCGCTTCTAATCATTATTTTCTAAAATAATTCTGATTCCTAAAGACCAATATAAACATAGTAGTAAATAGTAATTGAAAATTTAAAAATAGCTATATTTCATCAAGGCAAGATATAACATATAGAATTAGGTTTTATTTTAGGCATTTATAAGTAAAAACCAAAAATAACTAGGTGTGTTTTTTTCTTATTAAATAAAAGAAGTAACAAGCATTTTAGCCTTTTATTCTAACATACAAACATCTTAAGATCCATAAAAGATAAATTATATTCTTTACTTCATTTGGTTTTATTTTATGTCATGAAAAATAATGTATATTTTCTTTCTCTTCAGTTTCAATTCTGTAAATATAAATGAGAAAGTTAAAATATTACTGGAAATATTGGTGTCAGGTATTATGCAACCTAACTTGTAAAATGTGATCACAGTCTATAACACTTTATGTTCTTTTCCGATAACTGGAAATAAAGTCAGTATCAAATATAAATAGAGAGTCAATATCAATAAATATAAATTAAAGGGGAAATATAAGCTAGTGTTTTAGGATCAGAAGTCAGAATATTTTAGAAATATTTAATACTAATTTAAAAGTATTTATTAAGTACCTACCTTGTGTCAGAGACTGTTAGACACTAGGACTGTAGTGACCCATGCCTACGCAGTTTTTTGGAAGGAATAGACAGCTAAACGGCCAGTTACAACATAATGCAATAAATGCTATGTTAGAGAAAATGGAGGATGCTATGGAAAACAGAGTTGGGATTTCTGGTTAGGTTTGGAGGATCAGGACAGATTTCTTAAAGGACATTGCATCTAAGCTAACCCTGAAGAATGATATATTAATAATACCCAAATGGATGAGAAGTGGAAGGGTCATAAGAAAGGCGTTTGTTTGGACCAAGGTGGATATACCAGTTTAAACTCCCATCAGCTTGGATGTGAGTTTTAATTGCTCCACTCCTTACCAATTCTTGTATTGTTAGTATTTTTATTTTTCACTATTTTATTGGGTGTGTAGTAGCTTCTTTTTGTAGTGGTTTTAATTTACATTTCTTAATAATGATATTGGCCACCCTTTCATATGCTCTTTGGCCATTCAGATATAATATTCTACAAAATACGTTAACGAATAAAAAAACCTCACATTCTGGCTTGTCTGTTTGACCAACGTAATTATAATTTATATTTAAATGGTCTTGAGGCATTGCAATATTTTAAATCTCCTTTAAGTTATCAAATTATATTTATACACATTGACTGTATTACATTTTATATAATATTAGGAAACAGTTTATTCCCCCAAATGGTGTATATGTTTGTGTGTGTGTGTGTGTGTACATGTAGTAACTATTGATCAAAACATTTGAATAAGCCAAGAATTTCACTACTTTACTTTGTATTTTAAAATGCCCAGAGTTTTTCTGTACTTCCTGTATAGGGAAGTATAAGTTAACTATCTTCTGCTAATATTTTTTAGACCATGAAAAGGTAAAACACAGTAAGATACATATGCTTATAAGGAAGGAATTTATTTCCTCCAAGTATGTGAAGTGTGTTTTAGTGTGGTTCCTGTGATTCCTAGAATGATTTGTCTCATTAGAAAGAATATTTACTCACATTTATTAATGTGGCTTTTCCTTTATTTATATTCAGCCTATCAAGCTTGGAGATCATCTCAACAGCATACTGCTTGGAATGTGTGAGGATGTTATTTATGCTCGAGTTTCTGTTCGGACTGTGCTGGATGCTTGCAGTGCCCACATTAGGAATAGCAACTGTGCACCCTCATTTTCCTACGTGAAACACTTGGTAAAACTGGTTCTGGGAAATCTTTCTGGGGTAAGCTACAGTTACAATGGTAAATATAGTCATATTTTAAAAATTGAGTAGATATCACAGTTTTCTTTAAGGATACTCTATAGGTAGCATTTTCTCAATGAAGACTAGAAATGGAAAATTGGATTTCTTCTTCTAATATAAATTGTTTATTTGAAACAATACTTAAAATTTAGAAGCTCATTGCAATGAGTCTAGATTTTGTGAGAGTTATTCCCAAAAATATCATAGAATAATAGCATGTTTGAGCTGAAAGTATCTCCTCTTGTTTTCTTTCTTAGATCTTTTCCTAAGGAGCTTTTAGCAAATGGTTATACTGTGTACACCTAGAAAAAATGTATTAACATGAAAATGGGTTTTAGAAATATTTAAATGTACTTTCTGTTGCTTTATACCTATTTCATGACCACTCATTTTTCTGGATCTTCTAGGTATTTCCCAAACCTTCTCTACTTTCCCTTCTTCTCTGAACACTGCTACCTAGTGTATACAGGAAATCCATGCTTGTATCCCTGCCAGATTTCCCCAAGACCCGGACTCTTCTGGTTTTTCTCTTGTTTTGGATGTGAAGAATCCCAAGAATAACCAATGCCATATCTTACCTGAAAGTCCCACCTTTGTTCTGCATTTCTAAGGCTGTATTTTATCTTGTTTGCCCTATCTGATCTGGATCTATACTTTATCTGCTCTTATCCTTAGGGTTATAGTCCCAGAGTGTTGGTCCCTCTTCCTTGTACAGGTTACAAATTGACCACTGCCACACAGTGTTCTTGTTAGCTTCCTCAGAATTCCTTATCAGTAGGGATTTAGTTCCCATCTTAACCAGGATGTCAGATGGCTGCCAGGAATATATTCAAATTCTGCACAATTTTTCAGTTGATGACAGGCCCAAAGATCTTCTAGACAAATGGTTTGTAAACTCTCCCCCAAGAAACCTTTGCGGTTCTATAGTGAAGGGAAGTGTAGGAAGTAGAGGCTGAATAAATGGAGTTCTTGGTTGCCCATTTTCCCTCTTTAACTGGAGCAGCTCCAGTTTTATTTGATCTGTTTATGTTTCTGCATATGATTTTTTTGGACAAAGGTAAAGCTATTAAAAAATCTTTGAAAACCCTCTGTCCAGACCAACATTTCTCACATTGTTTTCAATGTTTTTGTTTTAAAAATTCCTCTATGACCAAAGAAGCTTGAGAAAAAATTATTTAAAGGAAATTCAATGTATTTTCACTGGAGAACTTCTTAGAGCCTTTAATGTACTAGACTATATTACTAACCTTCAAGAAGAATAGACATGTAAATGAAGCATTTCCCAAACTTACTTGATCTTTGAGGTCTTTTTTTCACAGACATTCTCATAAGGCTAATACTCTTTAAAACTTCACTTTATGGTTAAGGAAACTGATACCCAAACAACTATGGGATTTGAGTTCTCTATTAGTCAGTCCAGGGACTTTTTTATTATACCACACTTTCTCTAAGACTCTTGTGCTGTTTGCTAATTTTACTCTTATAGTAAAATTGTGAGAGATGTTTTTTTCTGTCTTTGAATTAATATTTTTTTTCTGTCTCCATAGAAATTCTATTACCTATCAATAATTGCCCATGTTACACATAAAATCTTCATCCCTTTAAGGTTTAGCATTTAGTTCTCATTATTATACTGGATCTTTGTTGCTCATTTATGTATGAAACCTGTGCTAGGGATTGTAGAAGATAAAAATTGGAATAAAATATTTGATCTAGGCGCTGTTATCTAAAATGCCATAACCATTTGCTTAATTATAAAATGAAAGAAGGCTATAAAAAGATACATAGTAAAAATTTTAACCGCTATGAGAGTTTAAAGGAAAAGGATACAAATTATGGTTGCACTGAAAAATAGCACTTTGTAGCCAAGCATGATAGTGCATGCCTTTAGTCCCAGCTACTCAGGAGGCTGAGGTGGGAGGACCACTTGAGCCTGGGAGGTCAAGGCTATGGTGAGCCATGATTGCACCACTGCAGTCCAACCTAGGCAACAGAGTAAGGCCCTACCTCAAAAAAAAAAATTAAAATTAAAAATAGCACTTCGAACTATATCCTGTAGGCTAGATAGAGTAATCTTGGCAGAGGGAAGTGAACCTGGATAAAGGCTGTGAAATGGGAAAACAGGAATGTTTGGGGAACAGTATGGCATGGGGGTGTATCGTGGGGTTATTTAATGGGAGAGAAAAATAGAAGGATCAGTTGGAATCAGAATGTGGATAGCCTCTCTTCACAAAGACAAATTTTTACTAAGTATAATCCTGCTCCCCTTACCTTTCTGTTGCTCTTCCTCATCTCCTAGACATCACTGGGTAGAAGTAACTCCAACAGCTACTGTTTTTTAAGTGTTTGTTTACTTTGTGCCAGACACTATGCTAAAGGGTTTATGTGCATTATCACATTATTCATCAAAACAACCTCAATTTAATAGAGATACTTTTATCCTCATTTTAGAGGGTATAAAACTAAGGCTGAGAAAGATTAAATAACTTACACATAGCCACAGATATGGTAAATGACGAAGACATAATTGGAACTGGGGTGTTTCGAATCCCAATGTATTCCTTAAAGCTTTTGTTGTCTCCAGTAGCTGATAGAGTAAGTTAGTCTTTCACTGGTGTGAAATTCATTCTAAGTGACCATCATTCTTACTTAAAATTAATTAGCGTGGGGTAAAAGTCAGCAAGCCAGCTTACTTGTCTAGGTTTTTCCACTGATTTAATGTTACAATATTTGGGCCACAGTTTTACTTATCTGCAAAATAGGAATAATATGTATCAATCACCCATATTATCGAACTGTTGTAAAAGTAATTATTTCCATATTAATGAGCTGCTTTGTGGTCCTTAGAAGTTTCTTTGCTATTTCTCCTTTTATTTATAATATGAGGATAATATTGTCTACCATATGAGGTTGTTTGAGGATTAGATAGCACAAAGTATGTGCCTAGCATATATGTTCAATAAATAATAGTTATTATTAATAGTAACTAACTTCAATACAGGAATTTTCAAAGATGTGGGATGTTTACTGTCTTTTCAGTCACTGACAGTACAGTATAATCTGGACTAACATCATTCATGCAACTTAAATGATAACATTATTTCAGCAATACTTCCATTTACAAGTCTTCTTATAGGTAGAAAACATAATGCTTGAGCCTAGAATATACTACCTTAAACAGGTTTTTAATCCATACTCCAGCAAGATTCCCTAATGGAGCAATATTAAAACATTTCTGTAGTATGTGCGAGTGTGTGTGTGTAAACAAATATGTATGCATGCTCTTGGTGCTAGATTTAAGTAATTTCTTTTCACCATTCTCTCTTCTTCCATTTATGTTGACATTTCTCTTCTAATTGGCCACCAGAATGAAACAGTGATCTGTTCAATTTTTTATCCCTTATAATGTGGAGTTTGACCTAATTTGACATACTTTATTTCAAGCAAATACCCTTGGCTAAAGCTATTAAACTTTAAGACTACATTTTGTTTTAATGGGAACTTAAAAGAGCATTGATTTAAATGTGTTATCCCTCAGAGGGTCCATTTAAAGACCTAGCATTTCTCGGCCAGGCATAGTGGATCACGCTTGTAATCCCAGCACTTAGGGGGGTCAAGGCAGGCAGATCACTTGAGGTCAGGAATTCAAGACCAGCCTGGCCAACATGGTGAAACCCTGTCTCTACTAAAAATACAAAAATTAGCTAGGCATGGTGATATGCACCAGTAGTCCCAGCTACTCTGGAGGCTGAGGCATGAGAATCACCTGAACCTGGGAGGCAGAGGTTGCAGTGAACCGAGGTCCTTCAACCTGGGTGACAAAGTGAGACTCCATCTCAAAAAAAAAGACTTAGCATTTCTCAGATGTAATTTCTGAAGGTCAAGATCTATAAAATTATTTCTGAAAGTAATTTAAATTCCTGAATTCATAGTTATAATCAGGAGAAAGCTTTATTATACCCAAATTAATGTGATTTTTAAATTATAATCTAACAAGAGTAGTTATTGGTTGGGGAAAGAAGACGACTTCAATTTTACTGTTTTCAAATAGAACTCATTTTAACAAGTTTAATCTGATGGTATTTTCTAGTTAGTAGGGTACTCTTCAGTCACTGCTTCTTCCCTTTTAATTTTCTGTAATGAATTGGCCAGCACTGGGCTACATAAATCTTATCCAAGAATACAAATTACCCTACAAATACAATAGGACATAGAGTCTCATTATTTAATATTATATCCTCCAAAAACTGTGTAACTGGTGTCATTCTGTAAACAGTTACTATGAAAACAAAAGGGAGATCCTTTTGTCAAACTTGATTTGTTATTGCCTGTGTGCAGACAGACCAGCTTTCCTGTAACAGTGAACAAAAACCTGATCGAAGCCAGGCTATTCGAGATCGATTGCGAGGAAAAGGATTACCAACAGGTAAGAGTATATTAATAGGAAATTTCTAGGCTTTAACCTTATCCCATTGTTTTCTTTACAAAAATTATACTTACCTGGCTTTGAAATCTGGTAATTGAGACGATGATTAGAACATAAATGTACAAAGTGGAGTTAGGGAATGGACAAGAATACTAGCTACATTAAAAAATAGTTTCATTAAACTTATACAGAAAATATTATTAATATAGTTAGAATTCCCAGAGTAAATTATTTCCCTTTCCAGTATTGGTATATCAATAATAATATTATTTATTTACTTTATCATGGTATTTCATATTAAAAATATTTTATAAAGCATGACTAAATAAACACATGCATATGTTTATGAACATAAACACTAAAACAAGTGTCAGAAAGTAAGTTTTTCTTACTCCACTGTGATATTTTGTATCATATTTCTTTTTTTTTAATGCTAGTAATAACCCACTAAATAGATATTACCATGGAGTTATCAAATACTACCTTAGGTCTGTCTCTTATACACATCTAGATGTGTATAAGAGACAGATGGTTAAGGAAACTGATACCCAAACAACTATGGTTTTTAAAAAGAAATGAATGGAAATTTCAGGCCAGGCGAGGTGGCTCATACCTGTAATCCCAGCACTTTGGGAGGCTGAGGCGGGTGGATCACCTTAGATCAGGAGTTCGAGACCAGCCTGGCCAACATGGTGAAACCCCATCTCTACTAAAAATACAAAAATTAGCCGGGCGTGGTGGCAGGTGCCTGTGATCCCAGCTACTCGGGAGGCTGAGGGAGGAGAATCACTTGAACCTGGGAGGCAGAGATTGCAGTAAGCTGAGATTGCACCACTGCGCTCCAGCCTGGGCAACAAAGAGTGAAACTCTGTCTCAAAAAAAAAAGAAAAGAAAAGAGGTGAATAGAAATTTCAAATACTTGAAATAAAAGTAAATATAATTTTATGTGACTATTTATTTTTCACTGTTAAGTTTCAGGCATGGCTTATTTATAAAATAAACTTTTGATTTTGCTGATTATCTTTGTTCTCTTCTTATCAAGCAATATTGAGAATCACGATAATCTAAACATTAACAAAAATACTTTTTAGATCTTGTCTTAGATCTTGGGGCTAGGTAGAAGTAAATGTACAGGTTACTTAAATATATTCTAATTTATATACTTTAATAAAATAGATGAAAAAGTTAAGATTTTAATTTAATCAGAACATCAGAGAATGCTGTCTTATTTAAAACCTATGAGCAACTCTAGTTGTGAAAACTAAACGTAGACCTTAACTATCTGGACCAAATGTTTTGCAGAGTCAGAACTCTCATATCTGAGAGGAAGGAATGTGTAAGTCAAAGAAAAGCAGTAAAATTGTTTCTAAGGGAGTGATTTTGTAATGGTACAGTTAGTTAAGTATCTGTTTTGGTGCTTCCATTTTAATTATTGTGAATAAAGATTATCTTTCTGAAAAGATATTTTAGCTTTCCTTTCATTGGTATAGTAATTTATTTCTGGTTAGATCAGGGTTTTTTTTCTAATACATACGTGATTAGTTTATATGTGGGCCAAAAAAAATACAGTGTGGTGACAACTTTGAAAGTATTTTTAATCCTTTCTTGCAAATATTTCCTTCCTATACTTGTATCCCCATACTGTACTTTTGTCACTTTGTTTTTGTAGGTAAAAATCTGTTTATTTTTATAGTATTCTAGGATTTGAGATAGTATATAGTGTAAACTTTGGCACTAACAATAGCAGCAGTTTGTTAATTGATCAAATTTTCGGTCAGTCTCCTATTTTAGAATCGAATAATAACAGAAACTTATAAATGAATGTCAATAGCAAGCTGAAAGAATCTTTTGGGAGATATAATGAACATTTTAATAAGTGGAACATTAGATTTAAAAGACATTGTTGTTTTTCTTATTTATCTTTTTCTATTTTCTCCCTCTCTTTCCTCTCTCCACTTCCCTCTTTTCTTTCCTCTCTCCCTCCCTCCTTTCTTATTTGTCTTTCTTATTATTTCTCTGACCTCTTTCAGCAGTTCCCTACTATCATTTCCTACTACCATTAAGTGGCCATGTTATGTAGTTGAAATTTATTTGCTTATTTGTTACTTCTTGATTTAATAACTGTAATGTTGTATTGTTAATTTTTGCAGACAGTGTATTTTTTCTAAGAATAAAAAATATTCATATATATTTATTTATGTATATATGACTCCCATTCTATCTCCCTTTCCATTGTGGGTCTGTAGAAAGAAAAAGGTGAGCCTTGCAATATTTATCAAATTAAGGATTATCAAATGCTAACATAGTTTAGATTTTATTACTTTCAATGATTCAGAGGCTTAATGTTTCAGAAATTAATTGTTACAGAGTATTTTAAAGATAGCAATTAAGAGATTTTACTGAGTCTATGCCTACTTGGTAACATATTTTAAATAGCAGGTTATTTGCCATTTACATATATACATATATTTGTTTCATAAAGGACATTCATAAAAGTTAAGCTTTCTGGACATGTAGATGCTGGGGATAGGGAAAACCTACTATATTAAGTACATTAGTTTTTCTAGGTGTTCAGTGTCTATTTGTTAATTGAACAAGAAAAGGTTTTATGGAAATACTAGATTTTGAAGTGTAATATATTTGTACTATAATTATTTAATAGTTCCATAAAGAAATATGTAAAACTATGGTTTATTTATTTAGCCTATTTTAAACATTAAGTTGTATGCAAAAGAAAAAGAAAACATCTTGGCTCATATTATTAGACCATTTTCTTATTATAACAATAAAAACATCAGAAGTTTTAATTCAGATTTTAATACCTTTTATTTGTAATTTTGTTTTTATAATACTAAGAAAGATTTAGTATTACTGTCTAATAGTTCCTTAAAATTCTTATTATTAATATGCTGTTCTAATACAGATAAGGAAACATTGACTGTCAGGACTTTACAAAATTAACAGAGAAATCAAATCCTTAAGTAGATTGTTTGTTGATTTTATCCTCTAATAGTCATATTGGAGAATAAAATCTCCCTTATATCTAAACTCAAGAGAATTTGTGAGTGATTACAATTAGTCACTCAGGATAAACCAAATTTTGTTTAATGTTTCTATTTTTTAGTAGAGTTAAAAGTCCTAATACTGAAATAATAGTCTTATTTGGATAAAATATAAGGGAAGAGTATTCCTCAGACCTTCTTAGCCATCATTGCTTTGCACTGTAATATTGCACAAGTGCTCTTTTCATTTACCTTTTACAAATTCGTAAAACCTTATTTTAAGGACAAAATCAATATAAATATACTAATTATAGCCATTACCAGGCAGAAGTATTCAGCAGCTAATAGTCAACTGCATACACTAATTTTAAAAGCTTAAGATTGAAAAAAAAATTATCTCTTGAAGAAGTAATTCTTCTAAGACACCTAGGACACTTGGCAGTGCCAGTTCTTAACTGTCAATGGTCAAATGCAGCAAAGCAACCTTATGATACATTATTAGTAAAACATTTTCTTCAATGTGCACCAACCTAAAATCTATATGTGGTGATAGCATTAGTTTATTAGGCTCTTGACTACAGTCTTTAATAAAGAAAATGTTAAGATGGACAGTGAGATACAGAATTAGATGGAAAGAAGTATGCAAATTTGGGGATAATGCCTTATACCTAGTGATTTAATTGTTCAGCTCAAATACAATAAAAATTTTTTATCTATAAGTAAATGACCTTAAAAGGTCTCTTCTTATATCTTACCTCCGAGATCTGTCACAGAAGCTAAGGCCTAAACTAGTGGACTGTCTGCCCCTGCTTTGTTACCTAATACTGCCAATGCTGATAAAATAGCTTCACTGAGCAAAAAGAAATCAAACATTTCCTGCCAAGCTTAAGGTGGAAACTTAAACTATTCAGATCAACATGGTGGTGCTTCAGAACTTAGGCATATTAATAATATCATGTTTCTTTCTTTTAAAATGCACTTATACACATTTGTGAGGACACATGGGGACTTGGGGAGCCTCTTTTAATATTGAAATGTCATTTCGAACTTTACTTCTAAGAGATGTGAATGTTTGAGTCTGGGTGAAGTGAAAGGTGAATGATGGTATCCAGTGTGGGATAATGTTAATCACATATAACAAAAATAGTTAAAACACAGTGTAATTTACAAGGAAGTTTTTTTCAACTTAAATAAATGGGATATGTTATATTACAAAGACTTTTTATACTCTTGAAATCTTACCCAAGGAATACAAGTATGAAATCTTTTATTTGTAAATAAAGTCTGTTTATTGTTTCCCATTTAGCTTTTAGCAAGCTATGCATTCTCCAGAAGGAAAATGCTTAGGGCCATTGCAGTGTTATAGTCAAGCAATAATGTTAATTGAAAATAGGGTGATGGCAGCAGAATTAGAATACATGAAATAATGATATCTTTGAGAATTTAAATAGCCATCATTTACTGATGGATTTGATATGGGGATTAAATAAGGTAAAAGATTTAAGGATGGTGCCCATATTTCTGTTTTGAACAATCAGTTGAGTAATTGGGCCATTTATTGTAATAGGAAAGACTGGGGAAGAATGGACAGTTCTGGATGTGGGAAGCAAAAGATCAGTTTTGAGCATGTTGCATTTGAGGGTCTTCTGAAATGTAAGTAGAAGTTTCATTACATATGATTGGAACTCCCAGAGGAGGTCAGTGCTAAGCGTATCAGTTGGGAGTTGTCAAGGTATAGATGATATTAATGCCTTGTTAATGGAAGAAATTACATAAAGACAAAGTGAGTAGATGGAATTCTAAAACTGACACCTGAGGAAATCCAACATTTGGATATCTAATAAGGGAAGAAAAACCAAAGACTAAGAATGAACAGTCTGACAGGTAGGATATATAGGTATATAAAGAGAGGAAAAGATTGAGTAAAGGATGGTCATCATAACCAGTTGTTACTGAGAAGTACAATATGTATACCAAAATGTCCATCTGATTTGGCAAGCAGAGATCATTGGTCATAACTAATGAGAGTTGCTAATGTATAGAGTAGTTGGAAACTGATTAAAATGGGTAGAATAATGAATGGGAAGTAAGAAATGGGAGACAGCAGTAGCTAGGGGGAAATGTGGTTAACAGAGGAAGAGTTTGGTTTGGTTTGGTTTGACTATGGGAGATATTAGATTATGTTCACATACTAATGGGAATATTCAATAGAAAGGAAGAATAATGAAAATATGAGGAGATAGCAACAGAGAATTAACCGTAGAAGTAAAGTCTTTGATAAAGCAAAATTGTGAGGGGAGAATCCAGGATACATATTGGGGATTGGCCTTCAACTGGTAGGAAATTTCATCTTTTAAGATGGCAAACAGAAGAGTAGACATAGTAGGTAGCTCACGCCTGAGATCTCAGCACTTTGGGAGGCTGAGGCGGGCGGATCACGAGGTCAGGAGATGGAGACCATCCTGGCTAACACAGTGAAACCCCGTCTCTACTCAAAATACAAAAGCAAAATTAACACGGCCGCGGGTGCCTGTAGCCCCAGCTACTCGGGAGACTGAGGGAGAATGGCGTGAACCTGGGAGGTGGAGCTTGCAGTGAGCCGAGATCACGCCACTGCACTCGAGCCTGGGTGACAGAGCAAGACTCAAAAAAAAAAAAAAAAGAGTAGACATAGGTAGTCTAGAATTACTCATGGAAAGATGAGAAAGCCCTCCTCCAACAGCTCTGGTTTTCTTGGAGTTATGACAACAGCATCAGCTAAAAGAGTAGGGAGTTAAGGTAGAAAATGTGAAGAATGAGGAAAAGTGAAACAGTCATTGTGGAAAGTAAACAGACTTACTATTAACACGTGGTGTTGCGTGTACAAAGTGATTGAGTATGAATTTATGGTGTTGCCACATACCCACTTGTTTGATGGTTTTTCCAAGTTTTAACTGCTTGTTTGGTAGTCAAGGTAGCAGAATAAGGCAAATGGTTGAGTTCATCTATCTGGTTTATGATCCTTGAATCCTTTCCATTCTTTTTTTTTAAATATAATGTGTTCTATCAATTTTCAAGAATATTTCTGTTCTCTATTCAATAAAATTTTAAATTAATGAGTTCCGAATGTGGTTTAAGAATATAACTTACCCCTAAAATAATGTAACACAGACATATGTTTATCAGTTTTCAAATTATCTTAGGTTAGAAGCTGGAGTCTGTGACAATCTGTGTTTGGATGTGGTATGGTATATTTCTTGGTGTTCTTTATTTGATGTGCCCAAAATATAGATGTTATCCTTATTTACACTTCAGTAGATTCATGGGAAGATGAGGTACAATAAAAGCACAATGTTTTAATCTTATGCTTAAGCAATTATTTGCTGCCATTCTGAAGTGAATTCACTTTTTAACGATTTTTTAAGGCAAAATTTGTGTTCAGAGAATTAAAGCTTATAGTTGTTACACTACAGAGGCAATTGATGTCTTTAAATAAATTAACAAGCAATTTATTATTACTAAGAAGGTTTTAGTCATTATTTTATATTGTATAGCAGATAGATTATCAAAAAGATCACAGAAGGTAGCACAGGAAATCTTCAGTGTTTATGGGCTATTGAGTTAGTAACTGTAAAGTATTTACCCACATTTCTTTTTTCAGTAGTGGACATATATATGATTTTTTGTTGAATCTATGGATTCACAAAATTACTGGATGGACATTTTTGATATGTGTCACATTTATAGACTACTGCCTTTAAAAAAAAGGAAAATGACTACTGATTTTAACTACCTCAGGAACTAAAGAATAGGAGTTGGTACTTTATTACAAATGGCAAATAATGGTAAATTATGTTCTAGAGGAAAAAACTTTTTTAGTGCATGAGGGTCTGCCATGGAAACATTAAGTTTCTTTCATAACTTAAACACAATCAAATTATTTGGATTTCAAACACAATAAAGTTTTCTGAAAACGTATCTAATTATAATAAAATTGTGATACTTAAGAATTCCAAATGCTACAATCCTGTTTCCATCCAGAATATAGCAACTATTCTTTGTTTCTTCCTTAAATGTATTTATTTAAAAGATTGGAATATACCCGGGCTTTATAGTGATATGACATAATGTTTGAGTTATACCTGTAGAAGTTAAAGTAGTTCACTATACATTTCATTATTGCCTCAAATCATTTCTTGGATAGTGAGCATTCTTCCAAACTGGATAGTTGTCTGCTTTTTAAAACCAAATAATTCACATTTGATGAATAGAAAATAATACCACTCAAAAATGTCAGTTCAGTATATTGATTTTATTAGATAAGAGACGATGAACTACGAAAAGTTATGCAAACATAGCATCTCTTTCCTCTTCCACTATCACCATCACCACCATACCATTTCATCTCTGATCTTCCATTTGGAACATTTAGGAAATTGCCACCACTTTCATTGTCAATAGTGGATTACATTTCCATTTATTTTCTAAAAATTCTGTGCATACATGATAGATTCTTATCATTCCAGGGAGAAGCTCTACTTCTGATGTACTAGACATACAAAAGGCTCCACTCTCTCATCAGACCTTTCTTAACAAAGGGCTTAGTAAATCTATGGGATTTCTGTCCATCAGAGATACACAAGATGAGGAGGATTATTTCAAGGACATTTTATCAGATAATTCTGGACGTGAAGATTCTGAAAATACATGCTCCCCTTACCAGTTCAAAACTAGTGGCCCAGAAAAAAAACCCATCCCTGGCATTGATGTGCTTCCTAAGAAGAAGATCTGGGCTTCATCCGTGGACTTGCTTTGTACAGCTGACAGAGACTTCTCTTCAGGAGAGACTGCCACATATCGTCGTCGTCACCCTGAGGCAGTAACAGTGCGAACTTCAACCACTCCTAGAAAAAAGGAGGCAAGATACTCGGATGGAAGTATAGCCTTGGATATCTTTGGCCCTCAGAAAATGGATCCAATATATCACACTCGAGAATTGCCCACCTCCTCAACAATATCAAGTGCTTTGGACCGAATCCGAGAGAGACAAAAGAAACTTCAGGTTCTGAGAGAAGCCATGAATGCAGAAGGTTAGTAATTTTGTGCATGTTTGAGAGAGAATTGAAGTATTTTAAATGTTTTTTCAAAATAAAGAAGGGTTAATAAATTATTCCACAAGTCTTATTTTCACTGCCAAACATTTGTACCCTGGTTAATCTCATACTTCTCTGTCAATTTCTGTTCTCCCTTCCATCAAAACCCTAATTGAAGTACTCTGCTTCCACAAAGTCATCCCTAATAAACATGCCCATTCATGTTATAGTCTCTCAATATTTGGGGTACCATATTTTTAGATTGTAAGCTTCTCAAAGGCAGGGGGCATATTTTCTACTTCTTTTTGCTTAAATTCTCCACTGTACCATCTACCATGCACTATCTCATGGGAAGCTTCAGTAAATAACTGGTTTGTGGAAATAGAAAGCAGTTCATCAAAGTCAGCAGTGCTAGAGAACCTGAATAGCATGGTTATGGTGCATTGCTTCTCAAACCACCAGCTTCAAATTGCAAATTTTGGGGTGCAACTGTAGAAGATTATAGTTTACTTTGTCTGGAATAAAGTTTTGAATCTATACGTTTTGAATCATAGTACATTTTAGGTTTACAGAGTCAGGCTAGGTTTGAATTAGTTCCTCCATTGGTAACTATGTGGTGTTTACTTGTGCTTCATCTCTCCAAGTCTAAATTACCCCATCTACAAAATGGGCTTCTCAAAGTAGGTTAATTAGGTAATGAATGTAAAGTGATTTTTTTTTAATTTTTTAAATTTTTTATTATTATTATACCTTAAGTTCTAGGGTACATGTGCATAACGTGCAGGTTTGTTACATATGTATACTTGTGCCATGTTGCTGTGC